AAAACTTTGGGTGCTTTCACCCAACAGAAGTGAAAGGAAATGGCTTAAAGACAGTTTATAGGTATGTTTTATTTTCCTGGTTTAGTGGAGATTGTGTTAGATTTCCAAACAGATGCTCAGAAACTTAAAGGAGATGTCAAGAAACCCCATGAGGAGAGTTTTCAGGGCTTGAATTGGACTTTTTTGCTTCGTCTAACTGGCTTTTTCTCCTCAGGTGAGAGAACTGGAAGGCATCCCTCTGATCCTGGACAACTGCAACATAGACAGCAACAACCCCTGTATCCTGTTTGCAGCCCTTTTTGGTCACACGTTTCCTTCTGGAGGTTTAACAACGAGTTCCTGGAACATGAAAACCTTTAGCTCTCTGCTGGTAGACATAGTTTTTACCCAGAAAATGAGAGAAAATGTTTTCAGAGTTAACTTGAAATTATTTATGGAGCTTTTCCTTTACAGAGCTGTTCCTTTATGGAGCTGCTCCTTTATGGGTTATTTTCCTTTATGGGAGCTGCTCCTTGATTAGAGCTTCTCCTTTATGAAGCTTCTCCTCTATGGAGCTACTCGTTGATTAGAGCTTCTCTTTAATGGAGATTCTCTTTTATAAAGTTTCTCCTTTATGGAGCTGCTCTGTTTGGGGGGTTCTCCTCTATGGGGTTCTCCTTTATGGAGCTTCTCCTTTATGGATCTGCTCCTTTATTGAGCTTCTCCTTGATTAGAGCTTCTCCTTTATGGAGCTGCTCCTTTATGAAGCTGCTCCTTTATGGGAACTTCTCCTTTACAGAGCTGCTCCTTTATGGGAACTTCTCCTTTATGGAGCTGCTCATTTATGAAACTTCTCCTTTATGTAGCTTCTCTTTTATGGAGCTGCTCCTTTATGGGAGATGCTCCTTTATGGATCTTCTCCTTTATGGAGATGCTCCTTTATGGATCTTCTCCTTTATGGAGCTGCTCTGTTTGGGATCTTCTCCTTTATGGGAGATGCTCCTTTACAGAGCTTCTCTTTTATGGAGCTTCTCCTTTATGAAGATGCTCTGGCCAAACTCTTCCTTTAGATTCTGTGTGGCTGAGCGGTTCGACTGGGCCTGAACTCTCCTTAACTCTCCTGCAGTCATCGGCCAGTGGGCCGTCTTCACCATCAGGAACCTCCTGGAGAACAACATCCAGAACCAGGAGCTGGTGGCGGGTCTGGAGAGGCGGGGCCCGGCCGACTACTCCGCCCTCCGGGAGCTGGGCTTCCTGGTGGAGGAGCGAGACGGGCGCCTGCTCCTCAAACCTACGAGGAAGGACTCCTAAAAGCTCGCCGAGGCGGGAAGGAGCAGCTTCAGACCCTTTTCCCATCCCAACAAGCCGCCCTTAAAAAGCCAAAAAGCTCCTCGCCTCTCAGAGAAGTTTGTGTAACTTGCTTTTCTACCTCGGCAAAGCGAGATTAGATCCCAGTTGGGGGTCTAATCCCAGGCCTGGAGGGGTCTCCACGGTAACCAGGAAACGGAGAAGGACCCAGTCGTGATGTAATCCGCCCCCTCCCGGCTTTCCTAATTAAACTGAGATTCGTTAAAGGCAGAGCTCATATTAACCTGCTTATTATAAATATTAGACCCTAAGAACACCTTATGAAAACAGAGTTCCCGCAGCTTCTTTCTGCTGGGCTCTGACACCGCGCATGTTTGAGTAGCATCTGGATTCATGCCGTCTGTAAGAGGCTCGGGTGGATATCCAACTCCGCCCACATCCAAGTCGGCCATTTTGATTAGGTCATGTGACTAGCAGCTTTCTGAGGTGGAAACTAAACTTTACTGTCTTTACGAAATCGGAAGACAAACAATGTCCCAAACCTAGACCATAACCCTATCCCCTAAACCTAACCATAACCCTATCCCCTAAACCTAATCCTAACCCTATCCCCTATCCCCTAAACCTAACCATAACCCTGACCCTAACCCTAAACCTGACCCTAACCCTAACCCTGACCCTGACCATAACCCTAATCCTAACCCTGACCCTAATCCTAGCTCTAACCCTAATCCTAACCCTGACCCTAACCCTAATCCTAACCCTAATCCTAACCCTCCACCCTTCATAATTGTGAGAAATAAATATTTTTGGTTAAACTTGTTTGGACTTATTGTACAAACCTATTTAACATCCACTATTTTAACATAATATTATGGATAGAGTTTAATTCAGTGTTTGCAAGATTATTGTCACTATTTTTAAATTAATGTCTATATTGCCATGAAGCAATTAGGATTTTCTTGCCTGGGATCTTCCTATTGGTGACCTAATCAAAATTGCCGACTTGGATGTGGGTGGAGTTGGATATCCGTCCTTGGCTTCCTGCAGTCTACATCCAGATGTACTTGCCATGTTTTGTCGTGGGGAGCGTTGCTCTGCGTGGCTTTAAACTCCCCCTCCATTGGCTTTAGTTATCGAGTTAAAGCTGCTTTTTTTTTGCCTCTGACGGGGAGGCTGAGCCGTCCTGACACCTGCACAATGCAGCGCATTTCCGCCCGGCCCCGCCCGGTTTGGCTCGCCCAAATCTTTAATGACAAAACGGACCGAGACAATCGGGCGGACCCGGGTTACAGAGGAAGGGAGCTTATGGGGTTCCGGTCCCCGGCACTCCAGACCGCTAACAAAACAGCCGTTACTCGCGCTCCACTAGCCCGCTGCAATGCTTTTCAGCCCCACAGGAAAGAGGACGCAGCCCCGCATCAGCACTTTGCTGCATGGGGCTCCATCGCAGTCCCACCGGGCCTCCAGCCAAACCCCCAAAACCCCCAAACCCCCAAACCCCTGGATCTGAGTCCCCAAAGGGGTCGTCAAAGGATACTAAAAGGTTGTATCCGGATACGATACGCATTTTTAAAAGTATTGATACGATACCAACACGCCGCGTGGAGCAGTCTTTGGCTAAAGTCTGTAGGAGCCTCGGGTGGATATCCAACTTCTCCCACATCCAAGTCGGCCATTTTGATTAGGTCATGCGACTAGCAGGTTTCTGAGGTGGAACCGAAACTTTACTGTCTATAAAAAATCGGAAGTCAAACGATGTCTTAACCCTAACCCTGAGCCTAAACCTCACCCTAACCCTAAACCTACCCCTGACCGTAACGCTAATCCTAACCCTAACTCTCCACCCTTCATAATTATGAGAGATCAATATTTTTTGGTTAAACTAGTTTGGACTTATTGAAACCTATTTAACATAAATATTTAACATAATATTATGGATAGAGTTTAATTCAGTGTTTGCAAGATTGATTTGACAATTTTTAAATTAATGTCTATATTGCCATGAAGAAATTACGATTTTCTTGCAAGGGATCTTCCTATTGGTGACCTAATCAAAATGGCCGACTTGGATGTGGGTGGAGTTGGATATCCGTCCTTGGCTTCTTGCAGTCTGCAGCAATATGTACTGACGTGCCGATGCTGTGCCCCTTGTATGATTTATTTATTTACATTGTTTATGATCATTAAAGTTACGTTAGCCTTGAATTGCTAGCTGCGGCTAACGGCTAATAATAACATGCTAACATTAATGTGGGCCACCGGCCACGATAACATCAGTAATAATCAGTAAGTTTGAAACGAAATACACTAATCTGTCCAAATTTTGTTAAATTTTGGGGTCTTTGTTTTTATCCTTCTGTTATCAATAATGCTATTGAATATTTTCCTGCGAACATTTTAGTATAGTGACAGTCAACAGGCATGAAAAGGATGCTCAAATTTTATTGATTAAGGAAAAAAAAAAAAACAGATAAAAAAAGGCATAAAGTCTGTGTGTGTGGGCGACGCTGACTTTGTTTTGCCACTAAGCAGAAAGTCTCCTCAAAGAGCCGTAGAAACATCTGGAAACTCAGACCCCCCCCAGCCTTCCTCCTGGTGGCGGTT